GGCACCTTTTGGGATGAGCACTGGGTGTTGTATGGAAACCAATTTGACAATAAATTTCATATATAAATAAAAAAAATAAATAAAAAAAATAAAAGAGAATCAGACTGAAGGTTCCCAAGAGGCAGCACCTTACCTAACAGCAGAAAACTTAGCAACTAAAAGGGATAGCATCTAGACACATATAAGAAAATCCTACAGGTACTAAATCAGGACAAAAGAAAAGGAATAGCATGTGGTAAGAACTCAACAAACAACAGTCACTCTTACTAATATTATTTCCCAATAGAAGGTTAGAGACTAGAAGGAAAAGCCTAGAACATACTAGTCTAGGGTTATAAAGCAGAATACAGACTTAACAAAGTGGATGACCAACTAGCAAATCAGTACTAATTCCTTAACTCAGTCTAAGCACTGATTATTGACAGATGCCAGAGGGAAAAAATTATAAAAGCAAAGTCTGATTCTGTGATCATCTCATCTTCCTCTAGATTCCTTCCCAAGTCTGTAACCCTTGATCCTACCTACCCTCTGGCAGCCCAAAGGACCCACCCTCCCCACAGCACAGTTCACCCAGGCTCTCTTTCCTTTGCATACTCAGCATCACTAGCTAATGCTAATCTTATATTATTTAAGCAAATCAGGATAAAGAGTGAATAAAGTTTATACTTCTCAAGATTTTTAAAAAGATCGGTAAAATAAATGAATCTTTAATTTCATAATGTGGTCTAGCTGAAAATTGCTAAAATGAGAGTCAGTAGACATGGGTTCTACTTCTGCCACTAACAAGCTGAATGATCTTCAACACAGAACTTAATCTCTCAGAGCTTCAACTTCTATTTGTAAAATCAGAGGTTTTGACTTGATGGCACTGATCTTTTCTGGCTTAAAATTTTTTTTAAATTCTCATATTCTCCATTGTGGAGAGGACTAGAAGGAATCCCAAAGAGCATCTGAGAGTAAAAAAGAAGTTTTATTCTTTTTATTTTTATTTATTTATTTTTTTTTTAATATATGAAATTTATTGTCAAATTGGTTTCCATACAACGCCCAATGCTCATACCAAAAAATGCCCTCTTCAACACCCATCACCCACCCTTCCCTCCCTCCCACCCCCCATCAAAAAAAGAAGTTTTAAATAAAGCATGGGATTTGGGAATGCAGGGAGGAAAAGAGGAATCCCTAGGTATAAGCTGCATGTCCAAGATTTCCTCTCCAATGCCCTCTTTCTACCAAGCTATTATCAAGGAATTATAAGGAATAAAAGATGGCACAGAATGTTCACCTCACCATCCCACAAGTCTCTGTAGGGCTCTGAAAGTGGACCTCTCACCCATCACTGGGCTCAGTTACAAAAATCTGCTGCTCAGAGAAAAAGCACAGGTGGTAACTCCAGAAGGCCTCATATGTTTCCCAGTGACCCACCAAGCAACCAGCATAACCCAAGCCTTAGCTAACGGAACTTAGGGCCAGAAGGGACCTACACAGCTTTGGTCAAACACTTGCAATTTTACAGAAAAGAAAGCTGAGACACAAAATTTAACTTCCTTGTCCAAGATGACAGAACTAGTTAGAGGCAGGACTAGAACCCAGACTCCTGACTCCCAACTTAGTGGACTTCCCACCATATGATATTACCTCTGACTTCTATAAAATCTTAGCTCTATGGGTATACAATTGAATTTGATCAAAAGGAAGTAATTATCTCTCTGCTACAGACTAGTAACACCTTACAAGCATAAAGTCTCTGTTTTCAGAGTTTTCAGACACACTCTCTTATTTGCTCAGCATGACAACACTAAAGTAGACATGGTGGGACAAGATCCTCCATTTTAAGTAAATGGAAAGGGTGAAGGATTCACTATTTCTAATTAGGTCCAAGAACCAGGGAACTGTTCAGGTAAAACTATAACCAAAGTGGCCTATCCCTGACTCCAGTGTTCTTCCCTCTCTGCCACAATACTTCCCATGACATGCTTTCAGAAGAGACAAAACGTGGGACATCAGGATCCACTCACCAATCAGAAGTGTGACCCCAAGGGTTGTGTGACCAGCAGAACCCAACGAAGCTTCAACCTTAGAATACAGCCATCCCATGAGGTTCATGTTTACTGTACTTCCCTGAAAGAAAAGGAAAAAATACGTAATTTTCACTTGTATATACTCTGCCTTGTTCCAAAAGGATGTGAGGTGGCTAGGAGAAACAGATAAAACAGGATTCAGATTAAATAAGAGATAGATTTCTTTTTTTTTAAACACTACTAGGAAAAAACTAACAAACTAAGATAAAGCCACAGATAAGATTACTGCACACAAAAAAATGCCAGTTTATAGAAAATGCTAGTATGGAAAACAACACAATGCTAGAATTTCCTAGCAGCCAAAGCAAAAATGAAACACAACGAGTGACAAAATTCATACGGTACCTATGAATAAAATAAACTTTAGCTCAGAAAAAGCACAGCTTTTACTGATATTGACATCTAAAAAAAAAAATCATCCTGTCCATAAGAAGACAGTAAAGGTTACAGAAATATAAAAATATAGAAAATATCATCTTCATTCACTTCTTCATTCAGCAATCACTGGGCCCTGATTGAACCAGTCACTACTCTAGATATTGCAAATATAATAAAGAATAAAACAGAAAAATCTCCAGCTCTCATAAAGCTTAGACTTCAGTGGGGTAGAAGAGGAAAATATGAAGTATATTAAATTGTGAAAAGTACTTCTAAAAATAAGGAAAAAATACAGCAGGGAAGGAGAACAGAAATCTCACTGAGTAAAACTTGAGGTTTTTTTTTGTTTTTTTTTTTTCTTTGAGTAAAAACTTGAAGGAAGCTAGTTATCAGGTGAACTGGGAGGGACAGCATATTCAGGCAGAAGGAATAGCCAGTAAGTGCACATGGCAACAGTAGGAAGGGCAGAGACTGGAACAGTGTAAGTGGACAAGAAAGAAAATGAGATGAGATCCCTGGAGAGGAAATGGTGGGGAGACAGGCTATAGGTTATAATATGGACTTTTGGCTTTTATTCTGTGTGAGATGGGAAGCCACTGCGGTTTTGAGTAGACAAGTGGCAGGATTCCATACATTTTAACAGACTTGCCCTGGCTGTTGTATTCAAAAGAGACTACAAGGGGTGATGAAGGCAGAAGTAAGGACAGGCATTAGACGGCTAGTGCAATAATCCAGAATGGAGATGAAGGGTCTTGGGACTAGGATGTCTAGCAGTGGGTATCATAAGAAGTGGTCAGAAAATAGATGAATTTTGATGGTAAAGCTATTCGGGTTTGCTATTGGAAAATGTGTGTTGAAGGGCAAGGAGTAATTTAATATAATATCTAAGGTTTTGACTGAGCAACTGGAAGAAAAGAGTTGCTCATAACTGAGGATGAGAAAACTACAGCATAAGCTGGTTTGGGGAATAACTGGTAGAAAAGCAACAGCTGGGTTTGGCCAGGTCAGGTCTGGCATGCCTACTAGATATCTAAATGGAAATGTCAAGTAGGAAGTTGCATATAGGGGTGTGGAATTCAGGGGAAAGACCTGGACAAGTGATATAAATTCAGGAGCAAAGACATGCTATTTAAAAGTTCAAACTAGGCCAACCATTAGAGACTCTTTTTTTTTTAATTTTTTTTTTCAACGTTTTTTTATTTTATTTTTGGGACAGAGAGAGACAGAGCATGAACGGGGGAGGGGCAGAGAGAGAGGGAGACACAGAATCGGAAACAGGCTCCAGGCTCCGAGCCATCAGCCCAGAGCCTGACGCGGGGCTCGAACTCACGGACCGCGAGATCGTGACCTGGCTGAAGTCGGACGCTTAACCGACTGCGCCACCCAGGCGCCCCCATTAGAGACTCTTAAATACAGAGAATAAACTGAGGGTTGATGGAGGGGTGGGAGAGAGGGGAAAATGGGTGATGGGTACTGAGGAGGGCACTTGTTGGGATGAGCACTGAGTATTGTCTGTAAGTGATGAATTACAGGAATCTACCCCCAAAACCAAGAGCACACTGTACACACTGTATGTTAGCCAATTTGACAGATTATATTAAAAATAATAATAAATAAATAAAATGGTAAATAAATGCTATTGTTTGTATTAAAAAAAAAAAAGTTCAAAACTAGATAAGATCACCAAGGAGGGGTCAAAAGAAAAGAAAAGATGTCCAATAACCAAGCCCTGGGGCACTCCCACATTTACAAGTTGAGAAGACTGAGATGGAACCAGCAAAACATGCAGGAGTAGACAGTAAGGCAAGAGGGAAACTATGCAGTGTCCTGGAACCCAAGAGAAGAAATCAAGGTAAGGGGAATGTTAACTGTTTTAAATGCTGTTAATAGGTCAGACACTGAAGACAGAGAAATGAATATGTCCTCAACAATATTCTCACAGCAAATACAATAGCAAATTTCATATGGCTACTCATTTCTTTTTAATTTTTTTTAAAGTTTATTTATCTTGAGAAGGGGGGGGCAAGGCACAAGCGGGGGAGGGGCAGAGAGGGAGAGAGAAAACCCCAAGTAGGGTCCGTTCTGTCAGCAAAGAGCCCCACATAGGGCTCAAACTCACGAACCGAGAGACCCAAGATCAAGACAGGATGCTCACCCAGGTGCCCTACACATGGCTACTTCTTACAGAATGCTAGCTTATGGCATTACTCAAATGAGCAACAACGTATAAATGGGGCATAGGTATAAAACTGGAAACTTTCCTAGAATTATAGTAGAAAATAAAAGCTTCTCAAAGATAGGGATGTCACCTTAATAATCCTTTAATTCTAAAATGCTTAACACGACATGGCTTAGCAAGTACTCAATAAATATTTGTTGAAATAATGAGTTTAAAAGTAACACATTACAAATGAACATCAAAAGGGTGCTGAACTCCCAACCCCCAGTAAGAGATAAATAATAAAAATGAAAAGTCCACGGCCTGAAGGTGTAATGGTAACAGATCAAGTGTCCAAAACCAGACAAACTCAGCTCAGGCTACAGAAAAGGAGAAGTAAAGCCAGAACCTCTCTGACCATTCTGAATATGCACAAGGACAAGGGAAGTGCAAAAACACCAAAACTCCATCTACCCCAACAGCTCTGTAATGGAATCCTTTGGTCTCATGCATCTCACAAGGACCCTAAGCGCAGAAATCAGGTCAAAGCTGAGCCATTCTGGCTGAAGAAGAGGTGGCTGCTTGAGGTCTGGCTTGCTCCACCTCTTCCTCAGGTCCTCCCATTACTCCAATAACCCCCACCCTGCATCCTAGAAGCCCCTGAGATTCCTATCTAGAAACTGGGGGCTCCTCAGAATGCAGCTGGGAAAAGACTGCAGCTGAGTGGACTGCACAGAAAAGAACCTGAAGATCACTAGTAATCACACCAGTATCACAAAGATTGCATCTCACATCCTTGACAAGTTATTAGACAACAAGACCCACAAACTGCCACAGACATGTCTTGACGTGCACAAGATACATAATGAAGTACTCAGAATATCCTTGTGGATATTGTCTAAATATGGGAAACCACACTAAGTAAAATTACAAATTAAATAATATTTAGGTGTTTCTAATCAATTTGATAAAATGACTTTAAAAAATTTTTTTAATGTTTTATTTATTTCTGAGAGTGGGAGCAGGGGAGGGACAGAGGGAGAGGGGAATAGAAGATCCGAAGCAGGCTCTGCGCTGAGAGCAGCAAGCCCGGTGAGAGGCTGGAACTCACAAATCCTGAGATCATGACCTGAGCCAAGGTCAGACACTCAATCAACTGAGCCACCCAGACGCCCCTAAAATGACTTTTTTTAATGTAATAATAGTCTGTACTATCAAAGCTGTAATAAAAAGGATCCTTCCATATCCCATAAATGAGGATGTAAATATCGCTGGAAGGATAATATGAGAATATGTCCTAACAAACCCTAACAAATCCTCTAGACTCAATTGCATTCCTAGCAACCTAGTCTCAGGAAACAATCAGAGATGCAGGCAAGTTTTACGCAAAGTCACACAACAACAGCACTGTTGATAGTGGTGAAAAATTAGAACTGCATGCACAAAATCACAAAAATGTTCTACAGATTATACATACGTGTCATATACTTCATATAATGAAGCAGTACATTAAAAACTTTTTGTATACTCGATTTCTTCTTTCCTAAGAATATATTACAAGCATTTTCATGCCATTTTTGGAACCTTGGTCTTTTGAACCTTGATTTTCAATGGCAAGGATTTTTTTAAAAACCTCCATTCATAGGAGTTTATGAGGGAAAAAAAACCTAACAGGGTTTGGGACTGCCAAACACCTTATAGGTTGCACTAATAAAAGTGTAACGTTTCCCATCAAACCAAACCTGAAACACCACGAACATTTCCAGGTTTCAAATGCTGGGAAAAGTATGACCACCTGCAGTAAGCCCAGGCAGGCGGGAGCACCATGGTCAGGGAGCTGAAACCCATGTCATGTGGCTTAGACAACCACAGGAAATGAGCACGTCTGACCAAGAACTTAAGAGCTGTCTTTACAAGAAAGGTCTGGTGCAGAGTAGAGGAAATAAACATTAACTGGAGGCCAAAAGTGGGAGCAATCAGAAAAAACTTGTGGAGGCAGATTTCATCTCTACATGAGATTGAACTTTATAAAGTTAACTGAAGTAGATGAGCTGCCCTATCATACAGCGAGCTTCCAATCACTGGAAATGTGCAAGGAGAGTCTGGATGACCATATGTGAAGACTTTCATAGCAGGGATGCCAAAGGTAGGCAAAGAAATTAGATAACAAAACCTGTAAGATCCCACCCAATGCTCATATTCTTTGAACTAATGAAAACAAAATTAGTCTTTTTACACTGTTTTCTAAGTGAAATAAGGTTAGAAATGCCTTAATTAAAGGAAGGTAAATGCTATATTGTAGTCTAGAGAAATACAGAAAAAATCAATACCTAATTTATCAAGCAAAAACATACTTCATCCTGTTATTTTTAAGAGATAACTACAGGGGCACCTGGGTGGCTCAGCTGATTAAGCATCGACTTCAGCTCAGGTCATGATCTCGCAGTTTGTGAGTTTGAGCCCCCCCGGCAGGCTCTGTGCTGACAGCTCAGAGCCTGGAGCCTACTTCGGATTCTGCGTCTCTGTCTCTCTCTGCCCCTCCGCTACTTGCACTCTATCTCTCTCTCAAAAATAAATAAACATTGGGGAGCCTGGGTGGCTCAGTCCAACTTCGGCTCAGGTCATGATCTCGAGGTCCGTGAGTTCGAGCCCCCGTCGGGCTCTGTGCTGACAGCTCGGAGCCTGGAGCCTGCTTCGGATTCTGTGTCTCCCTCTCTCTATGCCCCTCCCCCACTCATGCTATGTCTCTCTCTCTCTGTCAAAAATAAATAAACATTAAAAATAAATAAACATTAAAAAAATTTTTAAGTGTTTTTTTTTAATGTTTATTTTTGAGAGAGACAGACAGAGTGTGAGTGGGGGGTGAGCAGACAGAGAGGGAGACACAGAATCCAAAGTAGGCTCCAAGCTCTGAGCTGTCAGTACAGAGCCCAACGTAGGGCTCAAACTCATGAACTGTGAGATCATGACACGGGCTGAAGTCGGATGCTTAATCGATTGAGCCACCCAAGTGCCCCTAAAAAAAAAAAAAAAAATTTTTATGAGATAACTACAAGATTAAATCCCTTGCTTCGCATTTGGCTTCATTAGTTTGTCATACTTACAATTCTAGCCATGCTAAGTTGGAGTCCAAACACCAAGTTTAATTCTTTGCCTTTAAACCAACTCACAGCATATGTATTTTGGGCAACTGCTAAGGACTCCCCACCAATCCTAAAAATGAGGAAAGGAAGAAAAGTCACAGCTTTTACGGAAATACCACAATGAACAATCCAAGTTTAAATTTTTGATAACCCTGCTAATAAAAGATGGGATCTACGTTCCCACTCCTGAATCTAGGTGAGCTTGAGACGGCTTCAAGCAACGTAATATGGTGGAAATGGTGCTGTGTTCTCAAAGGTGACATCTGCCTTTTCACTCATTCACACTTGGAGGCCCTGAACCACCTGGTGTGAAGTCCAACTACCCTCAGTACGCCATGCTATAAGAAAGCCAAGCCACACAGAGAGGCCACACTTAGGCACTCCATCCAGCAGTGCTAGTCTTCAGGTCATACCAATGCCAGAACTAGACATATAAGTCAACAAGATTTCAGATGGTTCCAGCCCCCAACTTTACATGAAAGTTTCTAGCTGAGGCTCCAGACATCAGGTGCACAGACAAGCCATCTATGCTGTATCCTGCCCAAACTCCTGATCCACAACGTTCACAAGCACATTGTAATTGCTGTATGACACTGGTAAATTTGGGGGAATGTGGTGTGCTGCAATAACAACCATGACCTGTAATAAAATATCCACCTATGCTATATAAAATGTCTAAGTGGGAAGAGTGGTTCATACTTTGTGGAAACACAAAAATTCATTTTTCAGGCAAATCGCTTCCATATTCGACATTTTCCTATTTCCTGGGTTTTAACTTTCCCTTCTGTAAGTTCTACATATTGACCACGCCTCCTCTAGGCTTTCAGTTAGGAGATTCTCCTCCATATCCTAATACTGAACCCTTCTCGCTCTGTCCTAATCCAAAATTTTCCCTCTCTCTTCTACTAATCCAAATCCTATACTGATGCCAAAACATACTTCATGTCTGAGGCCATTTCTGACCACATTTCCATCTCTGAATCCCTTTCTTTTTTTATATACATTTTGTTTCCTTCTCTCTCACTTAGAGCACTTTGTCTACATATGGAATTGCCACATCAGTCTACATGTCTCCAGTACTTCTAAAAGCTTAAATAAGTTATGTCATTTGCATCCTCAGGGCAGGAAGCCCAAGGCTGGACTCAGAATGGAGTTACTGAACAGACACTGAAACTCATGAAGAATAATCAATCTATTGGTATTTTGCCCATTCAAGCCTCTTTAACAGGTTTCAAAAGGACCTGCACATTACCCACTAAGAAACAGCAAAATCACCAACCTACAAATTGATGGTCTATACTTTTCTAAATGAGGTTTAAATCAGTCTTCAATACAACAAAAAACAAAACACTCAGCAAAAATATCATTTCTAGAGAACTATTTAATATTCAAGCCCCAGAGTTAACAATGACCACTCAAAATTGTTGCTTAGTTTAAAGGAAGAGTAACACAATAAACAGTCTTGTGTATATGTAGTTAGATTTCGAGGATTTGAGGTAATTCTCCAGAAGAGACAATAATAGATTTTTTCAATCTTCAATAAATTGATAGGTGAACACTAAAACTATAATATATTAGAATGAATGAAATTACATATAACTTACCCAAACACAAACCTTCCAAATTCCATCAGCCAAAAAGCATTAAATATTCCACCCAGAGCAAAAACTACCTATAACGTAGAATATAACGTAGAATCAATGAAAAAGTGAATTTCAAGTATTCAAGAGAAATAAGTAACTTACAATGAATAACAACTTCTATAATGGGTTTAACATCCCTTCTCAGTAAATACGTGAAATTTAGATATTAATGTTCCTCTAGCTCAAGGCTTAAAATTGACCATGTATTATGCCACATGAGCATTTCTGCACCCTGCTTAATTAAGCCAGGCATTCAATAAACACATTTTTGCTGGTAGAATTAGACAAGAAGTCACTGTTAAATAAATAACAATGAATGTTTTGGATTTTCTTACCTGTCCAATGCAAACAAAGCAGCTAAAAATAATGGTGCCCCATCTGTTAGAGACAGAGAGAAAGAGAATGAATTAAGAGTATGTCACCAAGTCCTTCAGTAATAATTCACTTCAGTTTTCTTTACCCCCATACATTTCCTCCAAGGAAAGAAAAACAAAGTGCTGGTCTGCCTCTTAAGTCAGCAGCTTTCCCAGCTAAATACTAATCTACAGAAGTCTTGACTTCTAAGGAGATTCCAGAAGTTTTAGCAATGGCATATGTTAGTTTAAACCATTTTCATCTCTTAAACAAACAAAACTTGTTACATAATCTTTAAGAAGTTCCCAGGGTTCCCACTTAAAAATGGACATTCTTGGGGCGCCTGGGTGGCACAGTCGGTTAAGCGTCCGACTTCAGCCAGGTCACGATCTCGCGGTCCGTGAGTTCGAGCCCCGCATCGGGCTCTGGGCTGATGGCTCAGAGCCTGGAGCCTGTTTCCGATTCTGTGTCTCCCTCTCTCTCTGCCCCTCCCCCGTTCATGCTCTGTCTCTCTCTGTTCCAAAAATAAATAAACGTTGAAAAAAAAAATTTAAAAAAAAATGGACATTCTTTACAAAATTACTATCAACAGTTTAGAATTTATTCCAAGATTAAGTAATTTTAAGTGGTTACAATTCCTGATAACTAAAACTATTTTTAACTTGTTTCCTGTTTGTGTTTTGTTTTGTTTTGTTCTTTTAGTATAGTTTGACCCAGTGTTATATGACTTTCAGGTATACAACACAGTGATTTCACAAGTTTATACATATGCTATGTTCACCACAAATATAGCTACCATCTGTCACCATACATCGCTATTACAATACCATTGCCTATATACCCTATGGTGTGCCTTTTATTCCTGTAACTTATTCCTTCCATAATTAGAAGCCTTTATCTCCCACTCCCTTTAACCATTGTGGCCAACCCTCCATCCCCCTCCCCTCTGGCAACTATCAGTTTATTTTCTGTTTAGGTAAGATTTTGCTTTTTTTTTTTGTTTATTTATTTGTCAGGTTTTTTTCTAGATTCCACGAGAGAAATCATATGGTATTTGTCCTTCTCTGTCTGATTTATTCCACTTAGTATAACTATTTTTAAAAGGACAAATATCAGCTAAGTTAATACAATTACAAATCAGCCTACTTACACATTCTACACTTTGAATATCTGATTAATGTTTCCCCAGAGTAATAAAACACCAGTATTATAACAGTCCCTAAAGATCCTATGAGGAAATCATACTTCTGAAACTCAAGTCCTCTCAATCTACTGAATGTTCTCTAGCACTGGAAAACTTGCTATGGTCCCAATGCAATTCATGGTCCCTCATCAACCTTGACCAAGCAAAGTCTTCATCATAATAAGTAGAATCTGTCCCCCTGAAGTTTCATGCTAATTCCATCCCTTTACCAAGCAAAATAAATTTAATTTCTCCTTTATACTTAATCTTTCAAAATTTTTAAGTCCCCAAGTCTAAACACTTTTAGTCTCTTCAATCCTTTCCCATCAGATATGATTGGAAGATCCTTCATCATTTTCCACTCTGCCTCCTGAAAATATTCCCAGACTACATCCCCCTTAAAGTCTCCACTAACAATACATACATAATCCTAAGGATGAAAAGTGACAAAGCTTATTATGTTATTCCTTCCTCAGCCACAGAAGTGGCCACAAAAATTTCAATGCCCAAAGGCAGAAAGAGAAAATATCACTGGGACTCGGAGAGGCAAATACTACGTATGAGGCAAATACTACGTATGAGCCAAATGCCATACATGTATCTCTTTCAATCCTCATAACCACCCTGTAAAGCAGGAATTATTACCCATACTTTACCAATGAAGAACCTAAAGCTCAGGAAGCCAGGACAGCTCACAATAAGAGGTTGAGCAAGTGGCAGCAATGGGATTCAGACCTTGGTTTGCCTGGTCCCAAGTGAGGACATAATTTACACTTTTAGATAACTGAGTTACCATATTCCATTAGTAGCATTACTAGTCCCAACCTTAACTGAAATACCAACCAAATTTCAAAAGTCAATTCCAGGGACATAAAAAAAAAAAAAAATCATAAAATCACAGTCGGTACAGAATTTTATTCATTTCTTCCTAGAAATATTTTAACTAGTTCTGTGTTTTCCTAATAATATTTTACCCACAGGTGAGATGTTTTTCAAGCTTACCGTATTCCAAATACTCGGTCTATCAAAAAGCCACCAAAAAAACACAAAACTACATTGGGCCAAGAATACCAGGCATACAGCAGCATGAATCTTGTGGTATTCACCTGCATATCCTATATGAAAAGAAAATAAAACTATTTTTTTCCAAACAGTTAAGTTTAGCAACAAATCAAAACATTATTTTTGTGTAGGGCAGGCGTTTCTTAATCATTCGTAGTCACTAACTGCTTTGAGAAGCTCATGTCTGCTACGGCCCCTGCCTCAGAAAAAATGGTCACACGTGGGCTCCCTGGGAACTTCCTGGGTCCACATGCCTTTTCAGAGGCTTCATGGTGTCCAGGGTCAATTAGATCCATTACTGGGACCACCTCCCTCTGCATTTGCCTGTATCTTCTACACTCTTATTCCCATGATACTATCTGCATTGGTGCCCCCCACCAACACATGGAAAAAAATTATCTTAACCTATCCATACCCCTTCCAACTAACTTCTACCTTCTTTCCCTTTCGTTCTAGAATGTGAGGGGCAAATCTATTTCTTGCTGTCCAAAGACAGAAATCTAAATACACAAGAAAATAGGGGCTCCTGGGTGGCTCAGTCGGTTAAATGCCTGATTCTTGGTTTCAGCAGAGGTCATTATCTCACAGTTTGTGAATTTAAGCCCCATATCAGGCTCTGTGCTGACAACGTGGAGCCTGCTTGGGATTCTCTCTCTCCCCTTCTCTCTGCCCCTCCCCTGCTCTCCCTCTCTCAAAATAAATAAGTAAATTTTTAAAAATTAAATACACAAGAAAAGGGAAATATCAAATGTGTTTTTAAAAAACCAGACTAAAAATACTGACATGCAGAATCCTCTGCAATCAGCATCCACATTTAAAAAATGAAAGAACCAGGCGCCTGGGTGGCTTGGTCAGTTAAGTGTCCGACTTCGTTTCAGCTGGGGTCATGATCTCACGGTTTGTGAGTTCCAGACCCACATCGGCCTCTGTGATGACAGGATGGAGCCTACTTGGGATTCTCTCTCCTTCTCTCTCTGCCCCTCCCCTGCTCTCTTTCTCTCTCAAAATAAATAAATTTTTTTAAAAATACATGAAAGAACAGGGGCACCTGGGTGGCTCAGTTGGCTAAGCATCCAACTTCAGCTCAGATCATGATCTCACAGCTCATGAGTTCCAGCCCCATGTCAGGCTCTGTGCTGACAGCTCAGAGCCTGGAGCCTGCTTCAGATTCTGTATCTCCCTCTCTCTCTCTGCCTCCCCCCACTCTGTCTCTCTCTTTCTCAAAAATAAATGTTAAAGAAAAAAATTTTTAAATGAAAGAACAATAACAAAGACATATTTAAGAAAGTAAAAAGTTATTGCTACCAAATCATTTGCCATTCAGATGATTATGCAACTGGAAAGTGAAATGCAAACAAAAATCTGCTAATACTTTTTGGCATTTCTATGGAAATAGCACTTAATTATTTATTTAAAGTGTAAAACAATATCAAGCGACAAGTGCTATAAATGAAGTCTTTGTGGCCACTCATTCCAACTCAAGAACACTCCTTGCTACATATGGATTTGACTACAGATGTTAACATGGACTCAATGGACAATGTTTCAGACTAGGCAATCTGAGACCTGACCATGCCTCAACAACTATACTCATTCCAAAGCCAAGGAAAGAAACGAGGTGAAAAGTCAACTTACCCGTTTGACTTGAGTCTGAAGAGCAGCAGGATTATCATAGCAAAAATAGCTGCCTAGAATAAAAAACAACAAATGTTTCATAGGTGATAATACTGCCCATACAGAAGTTTCAAGCTGCAAATACTACTCAAATGGTGATTTTCAATGTTTATATGAGGGGCTTAAGGATTAACACGGTGGACCACTTCCTTTCCACTAATATTTTTTAAGTTGTAGCCAAACAATGCAGAGAAAACATGCCAAAACATTTACAAATTACTTATGTGCATATATAGCAAATATTGGGACCTTAGATTAAGAAGTTAATCAACAACTAATTGTTCTTCCATTTTACTATTATCATGCTCCATGTCTATTTTTTTTAGCATTTTCATGAAGCAGCTATATTTTCCATATTTAAAGCTACCAAAACACACACACAGTATCTAACAAACATCCTCAGCAGTTTCCTAATAATGCTACCTGAGTTCACCACTTACCATGAGAGCACAGGAATGGAGTTTAACTACTCTGTTTGTTTGAAGTAAGAATCTAACTCTGCAAACAGAATACCCAAGATCAAATAATTTAGTGAATACAGCACCAGGATTGAAGAAGAAACAGAGTTCTAAAACATTAAATTAAAACATGATGATAATGTCTGTATGGATATGAAAGAAGTGTAGAGAGGTTTGATATACATGCACTCAGATTTAAAGTAATATACCTAGGGGCATCTGGGTGGCTCAGTCGGTTAAGCATCTGACTCTTGATTTCAGCTCAGGTCATGATCTCACGGTTCTTGAGTTTAAGCACCGCACCCAGCTCTGTGCTGGTGGTGTGGAGCCTGCTTGGGATTCTCTCTCTCCCATCTTTCTCTCCCTACCTCTACCCCACTTACTCTTTCAAAATAAATAAACTTAAAAAATAAAAATAAAGTAATATAACTAACAGATTTTTAATGGGATACAAGATAATACTGAGTTCACTTCTTCACTTTCTAGAAGTACATATTAGAAGCTACCAGTTCAAAAGAAAGCAAATTATCAGTATAAAGATATGAATCTGGCTTCTGAAACCAGGCAGTTAACCATAATTTACCAAAAATAATCTGTCTACTTGAGTGGGGCAATTCTAAGTGTTTTGTATTGTTCTTCTTTTTGGTTTCTAAACCCAGCAAGTTGTGATTCCTGCTTTAACTGCGATAAAGGATACCAGTGTCATGCTTTAAAGCTTTGATGGGCACCATCTTTCCACAAAGTGTGGGGAGAGGGGTGAACAGCGTTACAAGGAAACTAAGGCCAAACCATCCTTCATGCCTGTTTACTATTCCAGCAGCAGCATTAAGCTATCCACCATAATAATGTTCTAAACCTGTCAATGACACCAGTTTTAGCCAATCCCTCCGCAAAACACATTATTACTTCCGTATCAAGCTGACATCAGAATGCTACGGAATACATCAGTTGCTGGAATACAAGATGTTTTAAAAATTATCTTAAGAAACTGCTTTCAGAGTCTTCAGATTTCGTAACTGAAACCAAATACCGCCAAGACTACCACACACACAAATCTACTCCAGTACATTCACTAGTGGCAGAGCGGAAGAGTAACCACACATCTACTCACTGAAGCTATCACCCAGACACACTCCTACGTTACCCAAAGACTGTGAGAAACAAACAATAGACTGCTAACGTATTATTTATTTAAAAGGCGGGTGGTGGGTGCTTACGGGTGGGTAAATCTTTTTGAATCCCTTCTTAACAAAAAGTATAACGACAGAAGCTTGGGCGACATAGGGATTCCTTCACATCTATGGCCGCAGGAGGCGAGCTGCTAGCCTCTGGGACTTCTTGCAAAGCAAAAGAGTGGGTCAAAACTCGCCCAGCTCAGTCCCCTGACTCCCACCAGCTAGATGCCGAAGAGCTGGCAACATCCACAGGCCTGAATTCGGTTGCGAACGGGGGGAGGGAGGGGCGCGAAAGGAAGCCAGAAGCTGCGCTGAGGCCGTGTGGCGGCTGTCAGCTCAGGGCGGATCTCCGGGCTCCGAGTGAAAATCGGAAATTTGTTGATTATCAGCCCCACCCTACCCAGCCAGTGGCTCACCGAAGCCTAGGAAGCACATCAGCAACAGCACCAAAAGCCGGTGCGCCAGGCGACTGGGGTCGCAAAGGGCCGGCAGCGCCCGGGGGACAGCGGGGACGGCCGAAGCACCTCTGCCAGCCTCACTGGGGCTGCCTTCCAGCAGCGCCCGCGCTTCCTCATCGTCCTCTCCCATGGAACCGGGGAAATATCGACGCTAGAGTGGTAACTCCGAGATAAAGCTCCGCGGCCAAAAGCCCAGTGAAGAATGTGCTCACTGCGACAGCTCACGTGACACCGCGGCAGGTCACGTGGAGCTACGCTCACGTGAGCCGCCCTGATCACATGGTGGGCAGAACTGGCCTGGTAGGAAACGAAGAGGTGGGGTTTTCGCCGCTCCTTTTCCCCGGGGGAGCTGTGTGAGGTGCTCAGCTCCGGCCTTCTACCACAGGCAGCGCTCTTTTTGTTTCCTGCCCTGCTGTTGTTGCAGACTCTGCGCAGCTCCACCGGGAGATAGTGCGGGACTTGCATCCAGTTCGATGCCAGGCTCCTCCTGCGTGATCGGATGTGGGCTGGAGACACGAAAAGAGGAGCCGCCCTTCTCGCAGCATTGCTTTCCGCAGCCACTTTGGCTGCTCTTAATACTCACATACTTGATTGAGCGCCTAATGATGTGCCGTGACATGCCAGGTACTGGGAATACAAAATGTAATGAGACAAGCTCTTGGACCTCAAGGTGTTTACGGTTTAGTTGGAGATAGTGCCAAATACTGGTACTTTAAAAAACTAGAGGAATGGATGAATGTGATGAGAACAGTGGCTGAAATAAGCCCTGAATTTTGTTGAAATGCCCAGGAAGGGCATTTGGGAAAGGAGAACAGGTGCACAGTTTAACTAGTTTTGGAGAAAGTGGCCATAGGGGGAGTGGGAAAATGCTGAAGCTACTTGAAGGTGGTGTCTAAACTAGTATTGGTAAAAATGAGCCAGTAGTGCTGCCGGTTCCAGGGAATGGGTTACTGGGAGGTAAGGGATGGGCAGGAGGGATAATAACGTTGCAAAAGTGAAACAGAACTAGGTGTGTGTGTGTGTGTGTGTGTGTGTGTGTGTGTGCGCGCGCGCGCGCGCGTGTGCGTGTGAGAGAGAGAGTGTGTGTGTTACTTTGGGATTAAGGGAGAAGGAACTCAAGAGAAGGGACACTGAACCTGTTGCATGAAGAGCCATGCAAAGTTTTCTAGCAGAATAGCAAGGATACAAGATTGGTGTTTTTAAAAAATCAACCTGGCAACATCACTCAGTCTTAACCCCCGCCCCCTTTTTGCATGTCTCCAGGCTTTGCAAAAAGAATTTTGAGGATGACAATCCTAGAGGTATAGTTACAGTGAGGATTACTAGGTATTAGGAAGATTAGAAAGAGGTGGCAAGGGCCTACAATGGGGACATACGGATAGAGCAAAGAAGACAGAATAAGTATTTAGGAGGTGAAATCGGGATGACTTTGTGAATAATAGCATATGAGGTCTGAAAGAAAGGAAGGACTGGAGAATGTCTCCTGCATATCCAGCATAGGCCCCAAATAGAGATCCAAAGTAAGAAGAGAAGAGAGTGAAGGAGAGTATCATAGGAGATAGATCCGTTTGGAACTTGTTGCCTTGGAGATAGCTGTACATGAGGCCTCCACTTAACACCTCCCAGTCTCTCTTCAGTTCCAAAAAACGAGCCCCCAGTCTAATGAAACTGTCTTGCCAAGATGACTAACAGCTCTCATCTTCCCAACTACAGTGGTCAATTCTCTGTCCTCATCTCACTTGACTTCTCAGCATCCGTTGATGCAGTTGGCACTCTCCTTCTTTGACACTACATTTGCCTTGTTTTCCTACTAGTCCACCGGGCTCTCATTTGCTGTTTCATTTGTCACCTCCTCTTCTTCAGCTTGAATTCTAAATTTTCGAGTGCTCCAAGACTCAGTCCTGGGCTCTCTTTCTCTCATCCAATCCCATAGCTTGAAAGATCATCACTATCTCTGTGCTGGTCATTAAGTAGCCATCACTGTGTATGGCTATTTAGCATTTGAAGTGTGGCTATCTAATTAAGATGTACTGTACCTGTAAAATACACACCAGACTTCCAAAACTTAGTATGAAAAAATATATATATCTTGTTAATTTTTATACTGATTACATGTTGAAATGATAACAGACATATATTGGGTCAAATAATACAATTTTACCTTTTTTAATATGACTGCTAGAAAATTTTAAATTATGTATGTTGTTTACACACATATATGTATACGGAGAGAGAGAGAGGAAATGTGGTAAAATGTTAACATTTAGGGGATCTTGGTTCCAGATATATGGAAATTCTTTGTATTAGTGTTACAAGTTTTCTGAGTCATATTACTGTATGACCTTTTACTAGTCAAGTAATTTGACTTACTTTATAATTATCAAGTGATGGAAAAATAAGAATGAGGGCATAGACACAGTTGGACTGGCCAGCCATTTTCATTGGTGTGGGGATGGCTGCAGTCTTCAGAGTAAAGTTAGCCCCACAGAAAGAAGAGAGGATAGAGTTTTCTCAAAATCTTAAGGTCCAGATTCAGCCTTCACATGCCTTTACTTCTTACCACTCCTCCAGAGGGCTGTGTGGTTCAGAATATTCCTCTTACATCCATCTTATGTGGAAGCCAAGCTGGAAATCCCATAGTCCCTTTCAGTGCCTTCTTTCCCTCACAGTGTGAGTTTCTAATGTGGGACAAGAGTGAAGAGTGTCTAGTTCTGCTTGGGAGCCCAAAAGCAGTAATAAGTGAGCTTGATCTCTTAACCCCCCCTGTTAAAGTATTTACAGCAAAAAGCAAAAGCAACACCATATACAAAGACTAAGAAAGGGATACAAAATCACATCAACTGCCGTATCAGCTTCATTATATTCTATGTGGAAGATGTGTAAATGAAAGCTTTGGAAGTCTGGTAAAAAATAACTACATTGATTTAAACCATGGGACTAAGTAGCATAAGATAAAATTGCTCTTATATTTTAGAGCTGAATTGGCAAAACTACTGGCCCAGATAATGGGGAGGCACCCACTAGGAGGTCTGGGGGAGCCTTGGCTAATTCATCTACTAATCATTCTTTAGCTGCTTCCTTTAGCTTTTTGGGTTTTTTTGTTGTTTTTTAGGGTATTTGGGGGCATTACCATTTGTGGTCTGAGAATCTGTGTCTCCCACACATTTTGGTACCTGCCTTTGACTGTCTCCAGTGTAGAGAAAGCTCTTCCTCACCTTTCAACTCTGGGACTCCGGTATTGCTGTTTTTCATTCATTAACATTTCTCTCAGCAATGGATTGCAAAGAAGTCCATTCCCAATATCTACTTCCTTTGTCCAGAATAAAAAAGTTGAAATGATGTTCTTCCTTAAGCATGATTTTAAAAGTTGATTGAAATAGAAATGATTTTTCAGTGAGAAAAGATACACGGTATGTGACGTGGACTCATTGCACATTTCTGCACCTTAATTTTTCCATCAGTAAAAATCATGTTTGTGCCCTGCATACTTTATTTGAATGTCAAGGTGACTGTGAGAATTTTAAGCATGTTAACGTCTTCATATGGAAAAAATATGAATGACAATGAGCAGTAAATACTAATCTTAATGTTTTTTAGATACAGAGTCTTGCATTTAAAATAATTAAAGCCTAGGGGTGCCTGGATGGCCCAGTCGATTAAGCCTCCCACTCTGGATTTTGGCTAAGGTCATGATCTCACAGTTGGTGAGATCAAGCCTCGCATCGAGCTCTGTGCTGGCAGCGTGGAGCCTGCTTGGGGTTCTTTCTCCCCCTCTCTCTGCCCCTCCTTCATTTGTGCACACATGTGCGTGCTCTCTCTCTCTCTCAAAATAAATATTTTAAAAATAATAATAAAATCATAAAATAACCAAAGCCAAACAGTAGTCTTCATGGATCTGACCCTCTGTGGTCAAACTTTTTTAAAAGATCTGAAAGCATGCTTACATGCTCAATAAATAATGTTTTTGGGGGGTTTTTTTTTTGTTTTTTTTTTTAATTTTTTTTTTAATGTTTATTCATTTTTTGAGAGAGATACAGAGCGTGAGCAGGGGAGGGGCAGAGAGAGAGGGAGACACAGAATCCAAAGTGGGCTCCAGGCTCTGAGCTGTCAGCACAGAGCCCGACGCGGGGCTTGAACCCACGAACCGTGAGATCATGACCTGAGCTGAAGTCGGACACTTAACCGACTGAGCCACCCAGGCGCCCCAATAATGTTTTTTATCATATAGGAGAACACCTAGAAAGTGTTTAGATTTTATTACCTCCGATGGAATAATTCTGTTGTTTTCCTCATTTGTTTATGGCAAATTTGAGTCCTGAAAGAGCAGAATACATAATTCACTGGGGCTTCAACACAAATTAGTAAGTAAACAAAAATTAAATAGTAAATTGCTATCTTGAAAGAACTGGTTAAAAAAAAAGGAGAGATTACAAAAGCTACTGTGTTAATATTTATGGCTATTCCACTGAATGAATATATTTATTACAAATATAAAAATTATAGAAATATTGGAAATATATGAGGCAATATGATAAAACAATAATAAAGAGAAATGCAATAAAGAATAACAAGAGGAAAAGATAAGAAATTAATAACAACAAAACCAGCCCCATGGAAAAACAGCATTAGAAAGTAAAGATGAGCATGCCCCTAAAGAAGCACAAGAGATTTCTTACTGGGAAAATTAGAAAATGGAAAGGAGAGAGCTCTTACGCTAAGAGGTCAGAGCCACTGACCCTCAGATCCCAGTGTGACTGTTAGAGCTGCATGTGCATGAGTGTGAAGTGTTAAGAGTAAATATATGTTTCTATTCACATGAAGACCCTCAATTGGGTACATTCTTATTATGTTTTGAAAACTAATTAAAGAGAAGGGACCTCCCCTTAAGATACGAAATTCGTAAGTATGTCAGGATGAAGAGGAGAAAGGCTGGCATATTGGGAACACAGATAGGTACCATGCCCAAGATGAGAGACCATCCCAAATTTCCCTAAATTTCTAATGCCAATGACTACATTTATCCCCTACAGACTTCAATTTTTAATAAAA